AACAGCAGCAGCAGTAGCAACAGACTTGCCTCTCTCTGCCTTTGCTACTCTACGACGAGACGCTGCAGTAGCTGCGGCGTTCGGGTCAAAAGATATACCTGCTGCTGCTGCTGCTGCTGTTGCTGCTGCTGCTGCTGTTGCTGCTGCTGCTCCGCTGGGGTCATCAGGGTTTCTCTAGCCATCGCAACAACAGCCGCAAACCCCTTTCCTAAACCCTAAACCCCAAACCCTAAACCCTAAACCCTAAACCCTAAACCCTAGACTTACGACAGTTTTTATCGCCTGCAATGCAGCATTTGGAGCATTGGCAGCAAACGTATGGTGCCTCTGCTGCTGCTGCTGCTGCTGCTGCTTCTGCTGCTCCTCCTCCTCCTCTTGCTCGCTGCTGAAGAAATCATCCTCCCCCGATGATGCTGCTGCTGCTGCTGCTGCTTCTGCTTCTGCTGCTGCTGCTGCTGCTGCTGCTGCTGCTGCTGGTGCTGCTGCTGCTGCTTTTGCCTGGCTACGCGGAGACAACTCAAACCCCCAAGCTGCAACGGTGTGCCGCTGCTGCTTCGAGCGGCAGCGCAGCTTCCATTCATCACGCTGCTTCCTGCAGCAGCAGCAGCAGCAGCAGCAGCAGCGGCAGCAGCGGCAGCAGCAGCAGCGGCAGCAGCAGCAGCAGCAGCGGCAGCAGGAGGAGCAGCGACGGCAACAGCATAGCGGCTTCTGAGGAAGTTCAGACCAAGGCAGCTAGAACTCCAAACCCTAAACCCTAAACCCTAAACCCTAAACCCTAAACCCTGATAACGTACTTGGGGGTTTCAACAGGGGTCCATATGGACTTCGTTGCCCTGCAAGCATCAAGGAGTTAGGGTTTAGGATCTGAGTTAGGGTTTAGGGTTTAGGGTTTAGGGTCTGAGTTAGGGTTTAGAGCGAAAGAAGAGAAGGCAAAAGGGGCATTTATTTTCAGGCTACAAACCCTAAACCCTAATTCTAGGTCACAGGTCGTACGAGCAAGACCGCTGCCCCTATAGTCTACGGTCTA